GTGAGCTGGCTTCCTCTCAGCCCCCAGGGCAAGGAGAGGCTAATCCCAATTCTGCCCCTTTCTGGCCTGCTGCCCCGAAAGAGGAAAACAGGCGCACAGCACGCAAGCTCGCTGGTGAGCCTGCCCCAACAAGGCTGCCCTGCTCTCTAAGCTAGCCTTGGGTCTGGTTCTGGACCTGCAGTACCTAGTGGGGCCCAAATAGCCAGGGATGGCTAGGTTCTATTTGTCTACCCAGAACCGGTCAGACCTGCCCTCACATGCACACTGGGGACCCTGCCTGGCATCACCAACCTAGGAAAGTGCCTTCTAACCCGTATTTCTCTCTTTGCAGCTCTTCCCACTCTAAACCAGAGGCTTCAACGTGCTCCCTCCATCAGAGTAACCCTAGGCTCCAGGGGGAACTGCTCCCCCACTATAATCCCTATCCACCCCCAGGCTCTCCTACTCCCTACAACCCTCCCCTCTCAGGGGCCCCCATGCCCCTGGCCCACCTCTAATAATCATGGGTATAGACCTCCCAGGAAGGGCTCCAACCTCTTTTTCACCCAGAACTATCCCCTTACTTCCAAACGGCAAACCCTTCTTTTGCACTGTTGGACCACAGTTTAGAGGAGGCCTGCAATCCAGCCCCCTCCCCCTCCCCCCATCCAGAGGGAGCAACATAACTTTTTATATTTTTTGTAGGACAAACACGGTTTTGTACAATTAAGCCATGTCTCTGCGTCTTTATTGCCCCATCTCTGTTCCCCCTCACTACAACAGGAACCAGCATCATCTCCACTCCCTTTTGCCTGGACCTGCCAGAGCAGGAACCTCCTCACCCCACCCTGGGGCCCTGACTGAGTCATTCTCCATCCCCCTTCCCCTGCCTCCCACCCAGCACTGGGGTCCAGGAGACAGTCCCAGCCAGGCTGGGGGAGGGAGGCAGCCATAAGCCCCTAGTCCCTTGCACTGTCCAGGCTTTGTCCTCTTAAAGCCAAAAGGAACGTGGGGAGATGGGAGGGCAGGCAAGACTTTTGCCCAGGGGAGGTAAGTTGCTAGAAATTGCTAAAAGAAGTTCAGCAAATGGTTAAATTAGGACAGTGCACAATCAATATCATGTCAGCCTGAAAATCTCTACCCCAATTCCTTTCTAAGGATTGGGTCTACCATCTATGCCTTTCCACGGAAACACAAATGCTGGCTCAAAAAGTTGCATCTGCAGAGAAACGGGGAATGATTAAAAGTCACACCAGTAGGCTGGCTCAGAAGGACCCTGAGATTAGGTGGATGAATAGAAACATGGAATGGACTCTAGTAGCCGGATCAGCCCTACTACTCTTTTTTCTTCTTGTGAGGAGCCTTTACATTCCAGTAGAAGAGAAGCTGGGCAGCAATAAGGCCGTTACAGAGGGAAGAGACCACAAAGGTTCCAGCCATGAGGGGATCTCCAGTTTCCTAAATGCAAGAAACAGAGTTAGGGTCACTCTTCAATGTCATCGCCCCCCCCCCCCCAAAGGTTCCAGAGACCAGACAGCTTTAAGTCCTCAGGTGGGAGGTAAGATGTTTTAGTGCCCCCTAGAGGGGAGAAGGTGAACTCACCTGAATGGAGGTGAAGATTCGGGCCAGGGAGCCCCCAAAGAGCAAAAGGACTGTGATGGCCGAGAGCTGGCCCGTGTGCCCATTGCGGTAGTTGGTGGCTGCCTGGAGCAGCTAGAACAGGAGTTGAGACCCTTTGTTCTATCATCTGAATTCTTCCCATGTTCCCATCAGATCCCCCCCATTCTCCTTAGTCTAATATTCCCATACACAGCTTCCACTCTGCTCCTCACTGAGTCCCTCCTCCAATATTTCTTTCCTTGCTCGAGTACCCACCTTCCCCACCACCACAGAAGGCATATTGGAGGCCTGGAGTATGGTGATCACGGCCAGGGGCATCAGTGGTGAAAGCAGTATCAGCAGGACCAGAGCGTAACACACTAGGAAAGCCACACCTAGGAGTCAGAGACAAGGAGTCCCCATCAACCTCGGGAGTCCTCTGGCTTCCCCATGTGGAGTTCCACCCGGCAGGGCTCTCAAGAGCCACAGCCTGCTCTTGGGTAAATCCCAGCACCTTTCACAGTTTGTCCTCTGTAGTGCAGGACCAGGAAGCAGATGGTGACTGTCTGGAGCATCAGGAATAGTGCTTCACCCCAAGAGCTGCAGAGTCAAGAGTTGGAAGGAAGAAAGGCGGGCCTGGAAAGAGGCAGGAAAAGCCTCCATAGCCCGTCCATCTGGAGACACAATTATCTGATTACTCCCTGTCCTCCACAGCCCTACTGGTTCCTGCCTCCTGCCTCCCAGCACCACCACCTCCACCTCTGATGGACTCACTCTGAATCTTGAGCTCTCACAGGATGCTCACCTCTCATCAGCTCCATAGGTGGTGACTGTTTCCAAAAGGGCTTAAGCTTTTCCTGCCCTTTCACCTCCCTCACCCCGACCCCACTAGAGTTGTGGGTATTTACCCTTGGGGACAAAGGGCAAACCCCTCACCTGAAGGGGAAGTTGTTGACAATGCTGTAGACCATGGTCCCAGTCAATGCCACTAGTTCCAGCATGACTGACTGCAGGCTCAGCCCTTCCGCACTCTTGGCTCCGAGGATTTTAAACACCTGAGGCAGTTTCACTGAGAAAGGATGAGAAGGGTAGGATTGAAGAGCTGCTATCCCTTGGAAGCACAACAAAACAGCTATTGAGAAGCATGTTACCCCACTTCTGGTTAAGGGACCCATCCCGTTTATGGCATTTTCGTACCCAATCCCCATCCCCCCAACAGCAGGAAGAGGAAGATGAAATACATACCCAGCAGCGACCCAGCTACAATGCCCAGCCCCAGGCCTTTGCTAAGGAGAATCTTCAGGCAGGGGACTGAGGAGAGAAAAAGGGAGCAGAGAGGGGGTCTCAGGAACCCAGGCCAGGGCTTTCCGAGACGTACAGGCCTACAGACCTACAGCCCTCCTGTGGCTGCCACTGCTCCGTAAGACTGGCACATCCCCACACAAGGAAGCCGGGTGTCCGGAGGCAGGTGGAAAAGGCCTGGCCCTTCCTGCGCCAGGTTATGTCATGCTAAGATGAGGCAACTTCTCCAAAACAGCTTTCACCATTCCTTCTCTCCAACCCGATGTCCCATTCCCTGAAGATTACATCCACGCTCCTTGGTCCTGCCAGCCATGAGTGGCTCCGTTGGTTGAGTGTTGTTGCCGATTTGATTCCGGGCCAGGCACATGCCTGGGTTTCGGGTTTGGTACCCAGTCGGGGAGCATAGTGAAGGCAACTGACCGATGTTTCTCTCTCTTCCGTCCTCTCTCTAAGCATGTCCTCAGGTGAGAACTAAATACACTCCGTGGTCTTACTTCCAAAGCTCTCCCTGTATCAAGCTGCACAATGCCCGAGGGTTCTCTGCTCCCTTGTTCCCCCTCATAGGCACCTGGGCGATCCGCTTGGGCCTCGTCTTTGCCACTCATTCCGGACCCGCTGTCCCTGGCCCTCCCCTCCCAGGGCCCCGCACCCACATCTTCTCTAGCCTGGAAGTGTTCTCCTCAAGAAGCTTGGCCCAGTGGGTGGCAAGATTCTCACAGGTCATGAAAGCAGCTAAAACGAAGTGTTGCAGAAGCACAGTGGGTGCCGCGACCTGAGGGGCAGGCTGGGAAAGCTTCCCAAGGCGTCTGGGTCTCAGAGGGGCCTCGCGGTGGAACTGCCTCGTAGAAAGTGGAAGGAAGTCATGTGATTCCGAAATGAGGCCACGAACAAACGTGGAGGCCGGAGGGAAAGCATCGTCAGGGCGGCAGAAACCTTTGGGGGTGCGGCTGAAGGCCTGGATTCATGAGGCCTGCGATCAAATTTGGCCTTGCTCCTGGAGGTATAGCGACCTCTTAAAGGTGGGAACTATTGGGTTATATTTTAACTTTGTTTTATAAAATTTGAGTCTTTTGGCCTTCCGTTTTCTAAAGCATAAATTTCACAGAGAATTACTTCCACCCGGCGACCCCTCCCCCGCCTTCTCCCACCCCAAAATGGCGCACTCTCTGTACGGAGTCCGAGACACTTCCGCCCCTCTCCGCAGTAATTTCCGCCCAGCGAGCCAAGCAGTGGTCACCGCCATCACTTATCCGCAGTCACGCCCCACTTTGGCGCTCCAGCAGGACTTTGACCAGATGCCGAACAAGACTCACCGTGAAGCAAATCCCACTGGACGAAAAATTGGTCGTAGCATTTCTCAGGTAAAAGAATCGGCACCAGCACCCGTTTAAGCAGCCCGTCCGCCTCGGCCGCCATCTTGTAAAGATCGCTTCCGCCAGTTCCTTCAGAGCCTCAGGGACCTGCGGTGCGCATGCGCGCCCTGGACTTCCGCCTCCCGCCTCCCGCCTCCCGCGACTGGGCGGCCCCGCCGTTCTGCTCCGCTCCTTCTCGGCGTAAAATAGGTCTCGTCCCGCGACCACGTAGTAGACCCACCCTCCCTGCTGTTTGAGTTTTAAATCAGCGAAAGCTGTACGCCTGCGCACTTCCTTGTTTCGCACCGTTGTTTACCCTTCCAGTTTGGAAGCAGGATTTATCGTCCTGCTTTTCTCCGCTTCTCCCGCTCGGCGCCATCTTCTCTTCTCCCTGCTGACTTGACTGTTCAAAATTGAAGAGAGGAGCCGAGTCTCCAAAATGGCGTTGGATGGGGGCGCGGTGCCTTCTCTCACTTGAGTTCTCTCGGCGTCTCCAGCGGGAACGGCACTGGCGGGAGCTTCTCCCGCCCCTTGTGAACCCGGGCCTGGGCGAATGGGTGCGCCAGCCACTGCTGGCCCGGGACAGGGAAGCGGGAGGCGGAGGTGGGGAAGACGAGACCATGTTCAGGGAATGGCACCCCTGCCCCTGCGGAGCCCGGCCCTGGCAGGTTCCCTGAAGCCCAGGCGGGGCCCTGTGAGGTCCCCTCCAACGCGCTGGCCTTTTGTGACCACATCCCGAGGAAGGGATTAGGCCAGGCTAACTGGGCCCAGCAGCTCCTGCTGGGGAACCGGCACCTTGGACTACCTGGCGGGGTGATGCCCTCTGCCACCCCGCATTGGGACACTAACTCTTGGCCAGGGGTTCTCAACCTTGGCTGCACATTAGAATCACCTGGGAATCTTTTTAAAATCCCGATTTCTGGGCCTCATCCTCCAGAAATTGTTTCTTTGTTATGGGGTGGGGCCACAACATTAGTAACAAAGAAACAGCATTTCCGGAGGATGAGGCCCAGAAATCAGGATTTTAAAAAGATTCCCAGGTGATTCTAATGTGCAGCCAAGGTTGAGAACCACTGCTTTTGGCCATCCCGGTGGTGGGACTGGCCTTCATGCTCGGCTACTAGCACCACACTGTCTTGCAGCCCCTTCAATGACTCTCATGCCACAGTCTGCACGGTGGTAGGGGATGTCAGTGAGGCAATGGTGGGGCTGTTGGGACGCTGCCACATGGGGGCTGCCCACAATGGGGTGGGTCTCTAGGTCCCAGGGGCTACTTTCTGTAGCGTGAGGGTCCTATTCTGGCCCCCAGCAATTGCACTGTAAAGGGAGTGGCACTCAGTGATGGTGCAGGCTGTCTGGCAGGCCCTTTTGTAGAATCTGGCTGCCCTGGGGCTGACACCCACCACCACTAAGTACACCATCACTTGGAACATCAGGGTTGGCTCCCTGGGTGGCCCAGGCTGGAGGTATGTTGTTCCCAGGAGCACAGAGGGTAATTGTATGTGGAGGCTATATACCCACTGCTCCCATTGTTGATGAAACCCTTTGCTAGCATCCTAGGTGCAGTAAGGGTTTCATCAACAAGGTGGGCGGGGCAGGCATTCTTGTTGCTCAGGAGCCACTAGCACATCCTTTGGAAACAAAATGACACAGGTGTGACCTTCCCACCCACACTCACTGCTATTGCTGCCTGCTTCACCTGTAATTGCATATAAGGGTCAGGAAGAAGGCCTCCAGGATGGGTGACTACTGGATTGGACAGGAGGAGCTGGGGCCAAGGGCCCCAGAATGAGGAAGGGTGGTGAGCAGATTCAACACCAGCTGCACCAGGCTTTGGGGGATGAACCCATGAGGATATTTGGCTGCACATTGACCTTTTCACCCCTCCTCACCAGCTCCCTTAGACTCAGCCATGTAAGGCATAGAAAGCATTATGGCAAGAAACTCACGGCTTTTAATCCTGGCAGGAAGGACAAGGAAAACCAAAGACAAAGATTTAAGTAGGCTTTACTATTCTCCCATTGGGGGAGGGAGAGGGGGAATGTCATATTTAATAAACACCTCCCTTCGGTTCTCCCAGTGGCATTATCTTTGATTTTCTTCTTCAAGACAGAGAGGGAAGGAAGATAACTTTGTCTCTGAGTCAGTTGAGTGGTGCCCTGGGCGCTGGGACAAAGGCTCAGAGGGGCTGGTAGGCGGGTGCACGTCTCCGGGAGATGCAAAAGATAACAAGCACCAAGGTGAGGAGGCCGAGGGCGATCAGGCCGATGATAAGGGGCAGCAATATGGATTGGTCACTGGGACAAGAAAAACCTGGCAGAAAGACAGGGCAAATATCACAATGGTGGTGGTGGGATAAAGGTGGGAGGAAGGAACATGGGGATGTTAGGAAGTAGGCAATTGGTGAGAAACTCGCCTAGATGACAGAGCAGTAAATGAAGGCAGAATGGGTAATGTAGAGGAAGGGAGGGAGTAGCCTGGAGTAGGGCTTTTAATGCGGTGGGAGAGTTTTAGGAGAGAAGAAGTAAGTCTTACTTGGCCCAAAGGCCCCTGTACGGGGTAGGCGGGCAGCTTGTAGCTTCAGGAAGAGCAGGTCGAGGTGGAAAGCCGGTGAAAGAATGATGCTTGCATTTCTGCAACTGAAGCTCTGGCCCAACGGGGTTTGGAGTTCTCGAAGGGATGAATTTTGAACTGAGAATGTCCATTCTAAGAGAGTGAGGAAGGATCAGCTCTATATCCACATCCCCATCCCCCAGCTTAGGTCCCTTTAGGAGTCCAGACATCTAGTGCAAGTGATGAGAAAGGGAAGGTTACTCACGTGTTGCTTGTGGGAAAGACACATTGTACTCCACAGCCACATAGTTCAGGTACACAGTGCTCTGCAGTGGTTCCTGCAGAGGTGACCAGGAAAGCTCAGGGTAATGGGGGAGAGTGGTGCTCATGTCCACAGAGGAGGGATGCGGCGAGTGATTAATAGGGAAAGGGCACTTGGAAAGTGAGGGATGAGGGGTGAGGTACCTGCTTGAATCCAAAGCTGAGCTGTCCATAGGGGAATGAGAGAAGCAAGTGGGGATGGGCACTCTCACAGCCTCCCTGGGGCGTGGTTTTGTTAGGGTTCAGTACAGAGATGCCCCAGGCCTGTGGAAGTTAAAGAAAAGAGAGTCATAAGGCTACACAGCTGTGCCATCTAAAATACCTTTTCTTTCGCCCTAGCTGGTTTGGCTCAGTGAATAGAGTGTTGGCCTGCAGACTAAAGAGTCCCAGGTTCGATTCTGGTCAAGGGCACATGCCTGGGTTGCAGGCTCGATCCCCAGTTGGGGGCATGCAGGAGGCAGCCGATCAGTGATTCTCATTATTGATGTTTCTGTCTCTCTCTCCCTCTCCCTTCTTCTCTAAAATCAATTAAAAAATTTTTTTTAATTATAAAAAATAAAATGCCTTTTTTTTTTCAACCCCACCTTGTGTTGGTCCCCTTCTCCACTCTTCCTTCTTCCCTTCTGAACCAGTCTTATCCCCCGACCCCTTTCAGCTTTACCTCTCTTCCACCTTGGGTTGGGTACCGAATTCGAATCTGAATCTGGGCTTGGAGATGGACACAGGGCAGGGAACCATTAGTCCAAGTGTAGTCTCCTACAGCTGCCTTGGAGCCTGGGCTAGGACTTGGAGAGGGTGGAGGTGGTCCTGGGTGGGGCGAACTGGTGAAGGATCCTGGACTGGTGGCAGTGCTATTGCTCATTGGGCTGGTGGCAGTGCTGTTGCTCGTTGGGCTGGTGGCAGTGCTGTTGCTCGTTGGATGAACTGTGGTATTTCCATGGCTCGTCGTGGTGACAGGATTGTGAGTGGCTGTTGTGGGTCCATGGCTGGTGCTTGTGGTGGTGGTTCTGTGGCTCTTGGTGGTTCTGTGGCTGGTTGTTCCAGGGCTTGTTGTGCTTTCTGTAGCTGTAGGTGTCACCGTGAAGGATGGTAGCAGAGTGGCAGATTTCTTATGAGGACAGTCATTCCCCGTCCCCTGGGCTTTCAGTCGAAGAAAGACTGGTTAGCAACCCAGGGACAGGCTCCTTCCTGGGGGGGTGGGGGTGGGGGTGGGTGCTTTCTCCCCTTTAGCCCCCTTTGTCCTTACCTGCTAGTAGTCCCAGCACGGCCCCCAGGAAAAGCACAGCAGACTTCATGGCGGAACAGCCTGAGTTCTCAGTAGTGTCAGTATCAGCTGCTCACCCAAGTCTACCCTATTCCCTGCCTCCTTTTGGAAAAGGAGGAAATGAAAGTCTTAACTTCCTGTAACTGAGATAGCCCTGCCCCACAACCTGACTCAGGCACCTCAGCCCCAACCACCACTTAGTCATTAAGTTTTTGTCACTACATGATTGGCCCTGGCTTCACCGAAGTGGGAGCTGTCAGAATCAAGACCATCATGTTGGGAGAATGAGTTAAGTGTTGATCCTTGGGGACCCATTTGTCTACCTCAACAAAACCCAACGGTTCTGGCAAATGATTACAGAACCAGTTGAAATGCAGCCCCTCTCTGATTTCCAAAGAAAACGTTTCCCAGAAAACAATGTAAAAATCAAGTTACCAGCCCCATTTCCCCCTCCATCCATCACTTCCTCGTGACTGAGACATGTGAGGCACTTGTGATGGGGATTGCCCAACCCTACAGAAGGGTCACTGTTAAATGACTTATCACAGAAGGGCAAAGCAGCGGTTCTCAACCTGTGGGTCGCGACCCCTTTGGTGGTCACATGGGCCTAAGACCATCCTGCATATCAGATATTTACATTATGATTCATAACAGTAGCAACATTACAGTTATGAAGTAGCAACGAAAATAATTTTATGGTTGGGTCACATGAGGAACTGTATTTAAAGGGCCAGAAGGTTGAGAACCACTGGGGTAAAATATCAGCTTGGGGGAGGGGATATATACCCCATAGCAGGTGGGAAGGGGAAGAAATGAGAAGCCCAAACAGGCAGTTTCCAAGTAATTTTATTCAGAATTTTGTTTCCTGAATCAATAAATACTATACAAAACAATGTAAAAATGGCTACTATTTTTTCTCCCCTGCTCCCCCCACATGGGGACAATCCCCTGGGTCACCTAACTCAAGGGTTCTCCCTTCAGATTTGGTCCAGTAATGAGGTTGAGTGACATAGCCCCCTTGAAGAATCATTTTCAGAGGAATTTGGCTGGAGCAGGGAGTCTCTGGGGTTTGGAGGTTGACTAGGTTAGGGAAGTGGATTAGTGTTTTTGGGAGAAGAGACGGCGCCTGGGGCATGAGCCTACCCCAAAGAAAAGGGTATCTAAATTGTTCACGGTTCCTTCTTTGCCTCAAAAAGTGACATTTATTCAAAGGGAAAAAAAAAAAGAAAAAAAATTGACAAGATGTCCATCCCTTGGCTCCCTTCCCTCCCCCCTCCTGCTCCTCCTCAGCCTGCCAAGGACTGAGAACCCTGGCTGGGATGAGGTAGCAGGCCAGCCCCTCTCAGATGAGGTCAGCAACATTGAGGGGCATCTCCTCGATGGAGGTGTTGTAGAAGGTCTCAATGTCTCGAAGAGTCCTCTTGTCTTCTTCTGTCACCATATTAATAGCCACACCCTTACGGCCAAAACGTCCACCCCGACCGATTCTGGAAAAGAAGGAC